ATATATGTGCTGATAAGGGAAGGAAGGTTTCTGGTGCTGCAGTTGCAGGTTCTGAGTCTGGATGTGGTCTGTGAGTAGATCATCGGGAACACTGAGGGAAGGGCTGTACAGACCCGGCCCGGAGAGATAAGCTCCTTGGAACGCTGGAGGCAGGGCCTGCACAGTCCAGCTCTGGCCTTGAGAGGCTGGCGGGGGTGGGGATGGTGGGGGGTTAGTAGAAGTGCCACACTGTCCAGCAGGCTATCTTTCAGGAGAACTGCGGGAAGCAGCTGCATGGTCCAGACCTGGCCCAAACAAGTACATTTCCATAATTAAGTGATACTTTTACAAAAAGACAAATAAGCACTTCAGGCTCACTGCTATCAAGTAGATTCAGACTCACAGTGACACTAACGGGGAAGAACTTCCCCTGCGGTTACCAAGGCTGTAACACTTTATGGACTTAGAAAGCCTTTTCGTTCTCCTGTGGAACAGCTGGTGATTTTGAACTGCAAGCTCTGCAGTTATTAGCCAAACACATAACTAATAAGCAACCAGGATTCCTGAACATAGAGGATCCATTTTCCAATTAATCTTCTATCTTCAATCTTTGTTCTTTCTTTTTGATATCAACTACAAAAAAATTTTGAAACCTGGTAAATTACTAGGCATGTAACATCATTGTTTGACGAAATACTGTTATGACAAGGCAGGGGGCAAAAAAACAAAGAGAAAATTTACAACACTTCTGTGTTGGTTAAATTTGAAAACTTCTGCAAAACCACAATTTCCCAGCACTCAACTACACAATCTTTCCTACAATGTTGAATCCTGGGTCATTGGGGACACCTGATCTTTATGTATATATAACTTTATTGGGGTTTTGTACAACTCATCACAATCTATCCATGTGTCAAACACATTTATACATTTTTTGCCATCATCATTCTCAAAATCTGTAATGCTTCACGAGTTTGCATGCCATCCTTGTGCAGGGGCCATGCTAATCTTCTCTGTATGGTTCCAATTTTAGTGTATGTGCTGCTGAAGCAAGCACGGGGACACCTCTTCTTAAGGCCTGTCCTAATTCATTAGTGAATATAATCTTTATCAACTTTAAGTCAGTATCTTTAAAAAATTATATTGTTAACTTACAC